CAAGAAATAAAAACACTACCATTTCACAAAACATCAATACCAATGTAACAAAATCAATACCAATGCGACAAAAATAATACCAATACGACAAAAACAATACCAATATGACAATAACACTATCACTACGGGAAAAAATGACTACCATTTAAAAAAAAATCACTACGGAAAAAATGACTACCATTTAAAAAAAAACATACCAATCCTTAAAGATTGCTGGAGGTCTGCACGACAACCTTAGGCATGGGTCGTTTTCAGGTTTGGTATGTGATTTGAATGAAGCATGAGTTGCGTTTTCGGGTAAGAGCTGAGCGGCAAGAGGCCGACCGGCGGTGGAGGTAGTGGAGGAGCGGGAGAGTCTCGCCGTCACAATCAGCAGCAGCAAGTTGGTGCTGTGGAAAATCATATCGGAAATGGAGTCGGGAAGAAGATTAGTAGTAGCAACAACAATACGGAGGAAGAAAGCTCTGTTGCTGCTAGTGTTAGCAAGCCGAAAGGCGAGAGGAGAAGGTCTTCCATGAGCGCGACGGTGCTCGGATCGCCACCTATCCGACTGGTGACTCGCCCGTGGCCGGAGAAAGAGGCGCGGAAGGAGTCGTCGGACAAGCAAACCCTAAGCCATCGTCGGGGAGGGTGAGAGCTTGCGGCTACGGCGGGTTTGGCTGTAGAAGTAGGGTTAGGGTAGAATATATAGAATAATCAAGTGTGGTCTTTTTTTTCTTCCAAAATTATCCTGAGGCAATCTTAACCGTAAGATTAAAAAAAGAGGAAAGAGAAGAAAATAAATGGTGGATACTGATGTAGCCACGGTGGCTACTAGAAATTCATTTTCCACCCTAACGCATTCCGACTAAATTGACAGGTAGTTTTTAACGGTATAATCTCCAATATGATTGGTACAACCTCCGATACGATTTTAGATTAAAAAAACACACAACAAAAATATATTGAAATTTATGGTGATGGAAGGAGGGTGGGAGGGTAGGGTATTGAAAATCATTAAGAGTCTCATGCAGCTGGTATGGTCCTTGTTGTTTGAGCAGAGCAAGTCTTTCTCAGGCTGGCCCCCTCCAATAGTGCAGATGAGATCAGATTCAGAAACAGAACACCAAAACGAAGGGTCCCTCTCTCTGGTTTTCCTCTCCCTCCCTATTGAAACATTGGGGGAGTCAATTGCATAGATGGTCACGATACTCTAGAGTGGTTGATAAATCGAACATCGAACTGACTTTTAAAGCGCTCGCTTATGGAACATATTAGTGTGCCGCATACATCATCTAATTAAGCTACTGAGCAAGAAGAGAAAGCGATTAGAGTGGGGTTCGGTATTATGAATTGAGTAACGAGTTTTGTTTGGATTGATTGTTTACTACAACGAGTAGTTCTTGCAAGCTAAAGAGGGCATTGTGTTTTATTTGGGTAACGTGGACGAGTTGACACACTAATATATGGATGTTTTAGATGTAAAACCCGATGAAGATGAATATTGCCATTTTTCTTAGTTGTTCCAAATCTCGGTGATTGGTTTGTCAGCAAATCAAGGTTGAATGATCGATTGGTCGGTGCGACAATGTCTAGTTGCCATATATGTCAAACTAATTTGGCTACTGCACATCCATTGCGTGAATCAAGTAATTGTGCTAAATGTGATAGAAATTGTTTTCCCCCCTTTACCATCTTGCCTCTCTTCTTCTTCTTCTTCATTAAAGAGTACCCAATGGGCATCCAATGCAATGGAGAGAAAAATGTGAGGGGATCTTTTATGTGTATGTATATTGATATTGTGTAGACCTAATTTCTAGTGGTCACCATCTCCTTATAAATTTCCATGCATGCAATGCCAAGTTTTCTTTATTTTTAGTAGTCAAGCCAAAGCTGCAAATGCAAAAGAACAATCATTAATATCTTGAAGTGTTGTTGGTTGGGTTTATGTCAGTTGTGCCTGTGTAGATGGGATGTCCCCATAGGAAGAAGATAAGGTGAAATCTGCATATGTAGATAAAAATTTATCCACATAGGGTTTAGGTTAATCAATTAGAAGAACCTAAAGTTTGCCAAATTCTGTATCATTGTTAGCTTTCATAAAAAAAAAAATTATTGCCTGATTTCTCAGTACATAAATAAATGAAAGTTACTAGAACTCGAATCCGTCAATTGATAATGGTAGTTGTCTCAAAATTTATTCGCTGACAGAATAACTTGGCTTTATTTATACGAGTAGTGATGAGGTCACAATGCTATTACGACTAGGGGTGTTCAAATGGTTACCGTGGTAATAACCAAACCAATTAAGGCTAAATTTCATCAACCATGGAATAAAATGTTTTATCCAAACCGTCCAAATTAACACAAAAACCAAATTAACCAAATCAAAGTTTAATTGGTTTGGTTAATCGGATTAACCAAATAACATAACATTGCATGAAAATAATTATCCTGTTAATGAATAAAAAATAACCATATGTTCTTATTATCATAAACTATCATTATATATAAGCAATAATAATAAGACTAACCATCCATGATTATCATTATCATTCGAGTTAATACGTCATTCATCATCTCTGCACTTAATATTAGCTTACAACAAAACTCTTACTATAAATATTAAATACATACCAATATCACTCATCAGGAAGTTAAAGCTCTCATACAAAACACTTAAAACTATACATAGTTTGAGGTGGCTGTCATTTTACTGTACGTAATCCTAAAGTCTAGTAGCTGTCCAAAATGCTTTGGTTAGTAAATAGGTAGGCCCATTTAATTTTTGACCTATAATGTTTTGGTTTGTTGTGTACATGGAAATAAAATAGGGAATCACAAAAGTTTGGCTTGATTGGTTGCATGGAAGTATAAATAATTTTGTATATTAGGCGTATCATTAATTGGTTAATTGGTTTCATTGGTTAGCAGTGTTAAAACCAAACTAAACCATCTAAACCAAATAAGCTAAATTGTTTAACCAAACCAAACCAATTATCCAAATTAGCCAAACCAAATTAACCGAATGCTACCGGTTAATATGGTTACCACGGTAACCAATCCGTTTGAACACCCCTAATTACGACCTAAACTCGTAGTATTTTCTTAGTTTCCATTATGAATCTCATCAACTTATCAAATTCCCTTATTAAAATCTAATATGACTCTCTAATTTTTTTTAAAAAAATATAGGCCGAGTTATATGTCCCGATATTTACTTCTAAAACGGCTACTAAATCAACTACACTACCCTCGTATAAGCTCCATCGGCTTTGGTTTGATCCATAATCAATTTGTCGATGTGTTACTGCACCATCCAAAAACCAGACATACTTGGATGAAATGAGCTAAACATTTGTACTACACTTATGCATTGTGTTCTGCTCTTACCAAAGGTAATTCACTAACCAAAAGGAAAAGTCCAAAATGTACCATTTCACCACCAATGAAAAACCCCCCAGTTTTACAGTTGAAGGATGGGACCTTATAAAATGAATATACCCTTTAAAAAATGTGACAACTCACCATATACCTCAGTAATATCAGGATGCCATATAAAGCCTAGCAAACATATTTACATTTGTATGCATAAATAGAAGACCAAGAAGAAGGAGGAGAGGGAGATGTAGGAACTAGGAAGAGGAGGAAGCAAAGCAGAAGTGTTAAATGGGAAGTAGACAAGTAGCATTGAATAGGGAATTTAATGGTAAGAGCAGAGATATGGGGTTGGTGGTCCTTAATAATAAGGGTAGATGCAATGCAAGTGAGCAAAGCCAAATTCAATTGGTGAAAATAAAAAGGAAAAATAGAAAGATGGGTTTTGTACTTTTACTAGTGTCTTATTTGGAAAGTGAAAAAAGTTACAATCTTGGAAGGTAAAAGACCCCAAGAGTTACAAGTGGAAAAAGAAATGGGGAGTAAATTGTGAAGGGATGGGAAGATAGGAATGGGGAAGTGAATTGAACATTTACAAGTGCAAAATCTTATCGATGGCTCGATTAGAAAAATTGTTTAATGGAGTTTAAAATTTTATCGATATGAAATGATTGAACTCTAATCGAACCAAAATTTAAGCACAAAAAATACCATATCATTGACTTTTCTGAACAATCTACTATACAATATTACAGTAGTTTCATTTAAGGTCCTCAACAGTCCATCTTACAAAGAATTGGGTACAGAGAAGGACAATAAAATTATTAGGTGGGTTGATGGAAGATTCAGCTTATATACAATTGTCAATTTGTCATTGTAATAAAGAAAGAGAAAAAAAAAAAAAAAACTTTGGTTCCCATCCATTCTGCAAGCATGTCTGTTGTTCCAGACAAAGATTTTGGGTATCTCTCTCTTTTGACAGCCTGGGAAATGGTTGCCTCCCCTCACAATTTATATTTTATTACCCATATGGTACCTCATTATCTTTCAAATTTACAAAATACCTCCCTTCATCTTAAAAACTTTCACAAAGATGGCACTTCCCCAATCTGCATTTGCTTTGATGGGCAGGCTGGCTTTCTTCTGTTTGCCATTGCAGTCTGTTGCTGCAACTGCAATCTGCAGAACTTCCCCTAATTTACTCTCCCCTTTGTTTGAGTTACATGGTTTTGGGATATAACTTGCATATGGAGCTGAAGAACTATGCAGAAAGCCACTTCATATCATTGTAAACAATGGGGAGATTTAAGTTTCAGAAGGACAGCAGTACCAAGATATGATAGAACGAACTGTGACACCAGAATGGGAAATGGGAAGGTGTGGAAATTCAATCACAGATGGTGTTTATGAATGCAGATGTGTAAAACCCAAAAGAAAGAAAGAAGATGATTGATTATGTTGTTTGTGAGAGAGGAAGCAGTAGTACCATTTTTGTTTGATGTAAGAAACCCAACCAAGCATGGGTTTGTGTGGGGAAGAAGGACAGTAATAATATGACAGATGGAGGGGCAGGTCCCCCCAAAAATGACCTATTATATGTAACTGATGAAAATGGTGTAGGAAAGTGATTGGAGAGGAAGAACAGATCTTTAAAAAATATATTTTGTTGGATCATAATGAACCCTCTACCTAGTTCATGCATTGTGAGAGAGTGACTATCCATTGATTCTTGGCCCTCAACAACAGCTGTGAAAAATCTGATACGGGTCGTTTGAATGGAGCAATTCGATGATACAATTGGGTCCGATTGTATTGTCTGGATATACACAAATCAATCGGAACACTTGAGCATGAGAAATTTTCGAACTGCTATGTTGTGACACAATTATAATTGTCTCGGGAGGAAGGTAATTTTTGTTGACTCATTACAAATTACTCATTTTGTTAAACGAGTCAATTTGCTGATCAATTGTCTCATCTCTTAATTGTTCTATCGAAACAACCTTTTAGCAGTCAAGTGCTTGTATGGGTTAGTACTAATATTCATGCACTTATCGTGATTATACCCTGGATGGTGCTTGTAAGATGGATGAATAGTTACTCGTAACTCACTAATGAAAGATTCTCTTATGAAAGTAAGCGACTAATTCTCCTCAATGGCAAGAATAACTCATCTTCCTACAAACCAACTAATTTTGCAAAAGGAGACAATATTGACCCAATTGCCTCATTTATGAACCTTTTCCATCGAAATGGTCCATTGCGTAAATATTGTAATCAGTACTTATCGTGATTATCGCCTGGTTACAAAAGGAACGGATAGTTACTCGTGACTCACGAGCGGAAGATCCTCTTACAACAAGAAGCGATTACTCATATAGATGATTAACGTCACATCTGCACGAGATTCATCTTCTTCCTCGTCCTATGCTATACAACATTTTTTGCTACAACCAAATACAGCAAAGCAATCAGGAGAGAGAGTCGCCTCCAAACAATTTGCGTCAAAATTTCAGGCCCAACATGTCGTCTCCCTCCCTTTATCTCAACGGCAAAATATATGAACGTGACCGCAGGAATTGGTCGATGGCGACTTGCAGAGTTTTGGCGCGCGCGGGCACGGTCTCCTGATTTCGATCCAAATTTCTTCTTCTCTATGTGGAAGAGAACTCTGCATTTCAGATAGTATGCAGGAGATCAGCTAGGTCCACTCACGCTTTCATTTTTGTTTTGGCTTCCAGAAAATGAAAGGATGGAGAAAATGTGGCCTATGTTTGAGCTAATTGAACCCGTGAAGGAGTGAACCTGTGCCTGCCTGCCTGCATTTTGGTTTGCGATATTACACATGATATCATCAAATCATAGGGAACGAGATGGGCTAACTGACTTTGTATGCATTTGCGTCGTTGTCAGCTCGGCTGTCTGTCGATATCAACATCGCCACTGTCGTCCATGACAAGAGGAAGAAGACATACCGAGATGCCAACGAGATTGCGATGGTTGAATGCCATGCTACATTCAGCCGAGCAAGGTCGTTCTACGCGCTCGAATATGGTGAGCTCATTAGTAGGATTCGAATTCAAGTTTCAGAACTCAAGCTGGCAATCAGAAAGAAGTTCAAGGCGAAGCATAGAGAACTTCAACAGCGTGAAGAGAACAATCAAAGCAAACCAGATGGGGTAGTTCAAGGTTTAGGGTTAATAAGGGTTCCATTGTTTAAGTGAAGAGTTACCTGCGGTGTCTACTTCTGAGGCTGCAATGAGGTGAACAGAAATACACCATGAACATTCAGACAGTGAGCAGACAAAAAGGAAGACGATTAAGAGATTGTTCAGGTTCAGGGGTGCTCCTAAATGCCCATTAAGACAGGGTTTACCAGCTGGAGACGATCTATCTATCTATCTATCGATCTATCCTCCACGCATATGAGCACCAAGTTCACCAAACTGATCGTCAGCTTCAACTGTATCATCAGACAAACGAACTGCATCCAGCTTTTGTTTGAGTATCTCTATCGCATTAAGCACCAACTGAGAAGCTTTAACAGCACCGGTGGTCTCAACCGTGAATATGAAGCTGTCCTCCTTGGCTTTAATGTCAATAAGCCCTGTCTTCCCCATTGATTCCAGTTTCTTGATGACTTCATCATCGTAAGTATATGCTTCAGCATCCACAACCACAACCTGCAAACACAGTCATTTAAAGAAAGCAAAACCACTCTGAAGTGATCGGATAAAAACCTAACAGAAAAATGATTTGGTAAAGCACAAGGCAGCAATCATTCAAAGATATGCACTGTTTCACTAACCTGTTGGGTAGTAGGATCGATGTCGAAAACCTTGGTAGGGCTGCTCTCCACTATACTCTGCTTATCTTCAAGTGACAATCTTGCCATCATATCTTCATTGATATTGATCTCTGGTTCATACATGAAAGTCACGGTGGCTGCTGGAGACCACTTCGCATGATCTTTCCCAATACCTTTCCTAGCTATTGCCCGGAGTCTTAGCTCTTGTCCACGGCGCAGTTTCACAATCATAACCCCCCTACAAACAGAAGATTTCAACAACTCATTATCACCAAGGCTAACAACCACCAAAGAGAGGAAATGAAAGGTGGCTAATAAGCAGCAATAGACTCCAGATAATCTGACCACCCACAATTTCTGCAAACTCAGATCGTTCCTCTTCCCAAATCATTTAGGGAAGCTTCGGTTTGCTACCCACGACGCGATTATCTAACAACAATACAGTCAATTTGGGAAGCTAGAACAACATGGGCATGTTTCAGGAGCAATAACCTTCCTATCTTGAGCAGCCTCCAGTAAGGAAATGTGACATTCTTACAATTAGGGTAGAATTAGTTCAAAAGGGGGGAAACGTTTTCTCATGAACCCTAGAAATCCAAAAACAGCATCACCCCAAAATCCAGCTCCAGATTATCGCATGCAGAACTAAGAACAAAGGGAACAGGGAAAGCAATAACGAGATAGATTCAGTAAGAAACGGCATTACTTCTGCTCAGAGGTCTCATCGCCGGCAATTTCATTGAAGTCGACGGGAACCACGGTGTGATCAGAGCTCAGCAAGTCCTTGCTGGTGACATCCAGGGTCTGGTCCACCACGCACTTGGCCCGCAGGTGGAACTCGACGGAGCAGTACTCGCACTGGCCGTCGCCGTCGCAGGCGTCGCAGTCGCGGGAGAATCGCATGCTCATGGCCCGCTCGCTGGTGAGCGGGATGAGCCCCAACCTGTGGGCGATGAACTCGTCGTTGAGGACGGAGGAGTTGACCTCGATCTCGACGAGATCGATGGCGACGGTGGGGACCTCGGCGATCATCACGCGGCGGAGGGCGTTGGCCACCGAGGCGTCGGTGTTGCGGAGCTCGAACTTCATGTAGTCGTCCTTCATCTCGCGGATCTTCACCACGGGTTTGCGCTGGTAGCTGCGTTCCTCCATGGCGGCGAGAGAGAGAGAGATCGAAATGGGAGCCGGCGGCGGAGCTGGGCTTCTCTTCCCTCGCCGGTGAAATGCGGGTGAGAAGTGGAAGAGATTGGAATTCGGAACCCCAAGAACGAGGGTTTTAGATTTTGGAGCTTTCTCCCGTCAGTGGAATCGATAGTCCGAATGGTTGACCTGGTTCTTGTGTTCAGTGGAAGATAGGCCAAACTGCGTCGTTTCGTTGGTAGGCCGAAATGAGAAGGTGAATGTGGGCTTTTTTATCTCGGCCCATATTCGGCTAGAGGTGGCTTGCTTTCCATCTTGAACTGGGAGTGGGCTGGATTGGGGCCATGCCGGATGTTTATCTCTTTTATTTTGTGTTTCGTCCTTACTACAAATATCATGAAACAGACCATAAAACATAGACTATAAAGCATAAACACAACAAATCCACTACAAATAACATAAAGTATACCAGAAACTTTTAAAGCATACCAAAACATCAGCATACCGTAAAATTTATAAAACAAACCAGATTACTCAAAGCAGATTAAAAGATCCCTGAAGCATACCAGAAACTCTATAGAGCATACCACAAATTGATTAAAGCAGACCACAAGTTTCATATAAGAGTATTATAGTGACTACAACTCCTTCATCCGCCCCTACCTTCTATTATTCTTTGCCTACCGCCGTCCACCTTACTTTGACTTGTCCCTTGGTGTTGAAAGCAAAATAGCATGTTACTTGTTAAAAAAAAATATTTCACTATTATAATTTTTTATTACTTTATCATCCTTTATGACGATTATAGTTTGCTTCGTAAAATTTCTGATGTATTTTCCTATTTTTCTGTTTAAATTTATGTATTTTTTTTTATCTATCATATCACACTTTTCGATTGGCACCAATTTGACATGGAAAAAAGAGTGAATTGAAGAAAATACGTATTACGTTGGTTTGGGATAAATGGGCTCTAACGTCTTTTTCTGTGGCATTTCTAGAAGTCGTGCTCCTCAAATATCTTGTTACTAAAACGTAACTTAATTTGTGGGATTCAACGTACGGAATTGTAGTTTGTGAAAAGAGATGAGAAACTGAGAAGGTACAGATAGATATTACAGGATTGTACAGTTTTTAAAACTGCGGCGGCTAAGTGACGATGGGATCTGCATGCCTTGTAATTCGAAACACTGTGTTGGATTTGAATGTACGTCCAGAAATTTGCACGAGTTTTGAACCTGGGGACTCTTTTGGCATTACAATATCATATCATATATTTCCTCGTAGATAGGAAAATTTTTATCGTTAATTTGTAGGTAGGGTTGAAGTTTGCACATGCATCAGACATAAGGTGTTTATCAATGAGGGTTATCAAGATTCGAACATAAGATTTTTCGATTACAGAAGACTCTAATACTATATATGTCAATGCAAGAACTAGCTGATCCCGATAACTTAAGTTGTTGTGAGAGATTCAATTATGATTTATGAATAATATATATATATATATACCACTTAGTACTTACTAACACTTAGAGTTCACGTAGCTCCACCACTGCCACTATCCTCGTTTCATGTGAATATAGGGAATTAGAGGTGGTCAAATGGTTTGGTTATCATGGTAACCGTTTTAACCAGTACTATTTGGATAATTTGGTTTGGTTAATTTGGATAATTGGTTTGGTTTGGTTAAAGTTTTTACCTTGTTTGGTTTATGTGGTTTGGTTTGGTTTGAGACATTCCTAGCCAGCCAAACCAAATTAACCAGATAAATAATTAGCCATATATCTAATATATACACATACTTAATACTTTGAATAACCACTCAAGAGTTGCGTTCATTCTTTTAGACTCATGAAATATAAAGCTTGATATTGTTCCTATAATGTATATTTGTATATGTAGAGTGTAGACCACAACATATGAACGCCTAATTTAGATAAATCTCATACATTATATTGGATGAAAAATTGAAAGCAAGGTCCTTTTCAGCCTATGAAAATTGCTAAAAGACTAAGTCAATTCAAACAAACACAACAATTCATTAACCCATACCATTGTGATAAATTTTTGGTAGGTGAATACTTCTATACTAACCGTAAGATAATTGTCTTAGTTGCATGTATTTATGTTATGGGTTAACTATAACTATTTGTTGATTGTTATGTTTTATTCATTATATAAATTGTGAATTGATAAATTAACCAAAAATTTTCTCACTTAATGATAATATGATTTTATATTGGTTAATCTGGTTAACCAATTAACCAAACTGATTAAACTTTAGTTTGATTAATTTGGTTGTTGTATTAGTTTGGACGGTTTGGTTATGATATTGTATTCCATGGTTAATGAAATTTAGCCTTATTTGATTTGGTAATAACCATGATAACCATTTGAACACCTCTAATGGGAATTATATAGTCTCATCTTACCATGCATTGTGCTACTTACATCTGAGTTAAAATATGAGTATACGTATAACATATTGCCGAACGTATCGTACATCTACTGATTTTCGTTATATGAATTATAAATGAATTGGAGTTTGAGACATTATACTATATCGGAATCTCTCTCGGAGAAACTTAGGTATACCTCGTTCTCTAAATCCAACCCAAAAGACCAATTTAATAATAAAAAAATAAGAACTGATAATTTTGATTCGTAAAAAATTTATCGAAGTACATCTAAAATGTGTGATGCTAATACATATAAAATATTATCTGTAAGTGTAACACGTTAGACAAATCTCACATCGACAGAGTACAAGAGAGAGATCCATGGTTCATAAGTAAGACGCAAAAAATTTAACTGACAAGACGTGTTTTTGAATGAATTGAAGGAGTTTTTTTTTTGTGAGAACTCCAAAGTAAAACGTGCTCAGCTTAGAACAATACCGGAATGTGTGAGCTTATGAGAAGTGATCTTAATATATATGTACCAAATACTAAATCCGTAAGAATCTAAACACAAATGAGACAATGTTTTTGAACTCCACCTGGCCGGCAGAGGCAGACTTGTTGTACATCCATCAACCTCCCGCGTCCAGAATATGAGAGTTGGAAGCTCCATGCAACTACTTCATCCCATCCGTCCAAATATCAGTACCCTAAACCCAACCTTTTCTTTGTTGGAAACCAATAAACAAAAAAAAAAAAAAAAACAAAAAAATAGCAAATTACTTAACGGCGATCCTCTCCGTTAACTTACTATGCTAACTAATTATTAGACACTCCATTTAACGGCGGCAGCATGATGATGATGATGATCTTATTGTAATTTATCATTAACCAAAACGACAGTCCAAACCCCACTGAACCCCTTCGAATCACAGCTGTCGTTCAATTGGCAACATGCACAGGACGACGAAATTAAAAGTCTCTCCAAATTATAGTCTCATGCACACCTACCAACTCATTAAACTGTCACTAAATCATCAAATTAAAAATATCGTAATTCTGACTAGAAGACATTCATGTTAAAATAATGTCAATCATCACAAAGAACGATTAAAAAATGCATGAATTTCACAAAAACAATTCAATATTTACTTTGATTTGGACTCGATGTCTTAATGCTAGTTTTAGAGTTTAGTGCATAGTATACACTCAATTTTGTGAGTGTATTTATAGAAGCCACCATATGCACATATATATATATATATATATATATATATATATATATATATATATATGGTAACGACGTAATGCTGTCAAACTCTTGGAGTATGCTATACTCCATGTAATCTGGCGGTCATATTACGTAGTTGTACGTACTTCGTCAAATCAGAATCATCAATCATACTATTTATCAAATTGATCTTAAGATTCGATCCAGGCCGAAGCTTGATCTATTACAAATTGGTTTAATATCATGCTCCAAACTCGATTTAATTTATAAACTAAATAGAAATATCTCACTCAAGTATATTTAAAAGTATGTCAATATGACCCATATATATATATTGTTAAAATCAAATTAAATCCTAGAGCACAACGTATCAACTTTGATAAATAAAATTTCACCCTAAAAGAAGAAAAAAAAGAACTTTTGATAAATAATCTTTTTACCACATGACTCACCCTTGAATGGTTTAAAATAATACCAAAAAAGGGGAGAGACATGGTGCCCTGCTAAGCCAACATTTGGCAAGCAACATCCAAAACCAAATAGGAGCACATTTCCTAGTTCTGGAGACTTTGATCAATCACGGGCAATTGGATAATAAGTTAACAAAACTGCTCCCCCCAAAATATGCTTTTTATTATTTGATCGATCCATCCATCCATCCATCTATATATAACCGCACAAATCCATCACCAACCACAACTCAAACAGTTTAATTCACTCCCAAATTCTTTAGCCATGATGAGCTTGGACGTCTACCACAGCCTGATCTTCGGCGGGATGAACAAGCATCATGATTGGGCCAGCTCGGATCATTACTTCCACGTGGCGGCCGCGGCGGCGCAGTCGTCGTCGGAGGTGGTGGAAGCAGCGATTGGTGATCATGGAATCGACGAGGATGACATCTTGTACGCGGAGCTGAGCAGGCAGGTCCTCCTGCTGACGGCCGATGACGACGAGGATATCGAAGAAGTGGAGGCTCGACGGCGCCGTTTCGATGACGTCGGTAGTGGTTACGGTAACTTCATGAAGAGGTCGGCGTCGGTGAACAGCAACGAGGGTTTCAACTGGAGTAATTTTGGGTCGGATTTTTTTACTGCTGGGGTTAATCATCATCATCATCAGTATGGAAATTTACCTGCTGCTGCTGGTCGTGGCGGCGGCGGCGGCTGGCCGCAGGGGAATTCGACGTGGGGGAGCGCTGCTGTTAATACGGGGACTGGGGTTTTCATCCCTCATGTGGCCAACTCAAAGAGAAGGAGCCGGCGAGGTAATTACTTACTTTATTCTACCAACGTTTGAATTTTTTTTTTCTTGGTTGCGTATTATTGAGATGAACTGGTTCTTGATAATAGGCAAGAAGAACGGGAAGAAGAGAGCCGCAGCCGGAAGCAAGCAAGCTGGTGAGAGCAAGCAATGATTACTGACTGTGGCTGCATGTAGAATTCTTTTTTATCGATGGATTGGTTTGGTTATAAGAGGAAAGGAGGATTCTTTCTGCAATTGAAGGGAGAGAGCTTGTTGGCTCTATTTTTTTTTTTTTTGGTGTGCTGCTGCTGATGATTTTTGTTTCTGTGTGTGGGATTCCTGTGATCCTGATGATTTTGTTGCCATCTATTTATTTCCTGCCATATTTTTCCTTTCTGAGTGTAAGAAGGGATCTGTATGTTAACCATAATTTTGGTTTTTCTTCTCTGGGTTTCCAGCAACTATACCAATTGATGTATTGTTTTGATGATGAGATGAATGGCAAAACCAGCCAGAAATAAGTTGAGAGAATGAAAGAGATTTTCTTTATTGTTGAATTTTGATCAAGATATTACTTTCTTCTGTTTAATTTTCTTAATAAGTGATATCAGAGTGGTGTGTAGCGAGACTTTAAATGAACCGTGGTTCTTAAAAATTTCTAGTTAATTGGAGTCCTTAGGTGAGGTCGTATCGGCGAAAGTATGGGGCCCTACATTTCAAAAATCATGCTAAAACGCATATTTTTAAAGGGTTTTGATACCCAAGTTTTTGCTAAATGGGGTCCTAGGACCCCTCTCTCCAAGGGCTACCTCCGCCACTAAGTGGTATATGATATATAATTGAATTTCTTATAATAATTCGGGCATGTTGAGATCAAACCAACTGATTGTTGGCATTGTATTAGAGGCTTTCATGATCGAGACATCTTTTATTTGAATCCCAGTAAGCCCACACTGGTATAGTAAGCATATGGTATATGATTTTTGTGCAAACTTCAAGCCTAAATGAGTGATTTTCATTTGAGGTGACTTATTGTTAGTAAGTGGTATATATGACCTATAGATAAACATTTTCTAATAACTCAAGTTAGCTGATCAACTTGTTTTGGACATGGTATCAGAATCTTATGTGAATTCTATTCGAATTCTAAAAACCCCCATTGATAAGCATATGGTGTCTAATGCTTGTGCAAACTTCAAGCCAATATCAGTGACTTTCGATTAAAAGAACATATTAATTCGTGATATATATATATAATATTCATTATTCAACCTCTCCCAACAAATTCTTGTTAGAATACATCTTGGTTAATTCCCTCTCTCTCTTTCTTTATCATTAGACATGTTAAAGTACAAATAATTAAGACGATGCAAAGTACATGGATCAACTGCACAATCAAGCAGTTAGGTTCATTAATTAATCTCTTGACCTATATACGCCGGTAATTCGTTAATGAGTTCCCTCATCGTCGCCGGACTGATTACCTTGACCCTTACACTTTCCCTTGCCGGCTTTACGACCCTTACCGCGACCCTTCTCTCCCCGGATGCAGGCGCCTTTCTCTCCCTGATCGCCGCCGGTTTCGTTGCATTTGCAAACGGGCTGGCAAGAGTCAAGGCACTGGACGACGCAAATCTGACCCGCCGGACATGTCACCTTCTCGCACCCGCCGCCGGCTTCCACCGCGGTCTTGCCGAGCCTGGCCGCTGACGCCGTCAATATCATCACGAGAAGAGGGATCATTACTATGCTCAACTGTTTTATAAGACGGGGATGAGCCATTTTTTGATTAGCTGCGTTTGTTATATCGTTCTAGTGATGATTATAGCTCGGCCTTTTATACTAAGGCGGGAATGAGTTCTTCCATTAAAAAAAAAGAAAACAAAAGTCAACGTGTTTTGTTTAATGGGATGCAATCGGTGTGTGTTCGTGAAGCAATCTTGTCACTGTAATTTCAGGAGAATGGTAAACTGACAATTTTATTCAGTGCATCTGATCAACAATAAGTACTTAGTTTCAGCCTACAGATTCGGCTTCAACTAACAACCCATGACTCCTCAATCCTACAAAGTAGTCAACATGACTAACTAACTTGACAGCTAAGCCACTGACCTGCTGTTACCCTTAGTCCACGCAAGGACTTTATTTGACTCACTAACAAACTCAAAGGACTCAACTGAACTAAACCAATACGCCACAATCTTGATATAAAACTTAAACATTCAAACACTGTTGCTGATCTTCCCACCTTCTGCTGCTGCCTCTGCCAACTCCTTCTGTGATGATCTAGACTTGATTCTACCAACAAATCCTCCCTTGAACTGAAGTCGATCACCAAAGCTTAAGTTCACATCTTCAAGCCTTCATTTTCCAGTATTGAATTCTGCCATGTCTGTCACTCCAAGCTCACTTCTCAGTAGCTGATAGGTTTCCAGTTTTAAAAGCCTTCGTCATTATATCAGCAATCTGTTCATGAGACATGCAGTGCTTCAATTCAACAAAACCTTCATTTGCCAACTCTCTTAGGGAGTGAAACCTGACGTCAATGTGCTTGCTCCTTCCATGAAGATCAGGGTTCTTTGATAATTTGATTGCAGAACTGCTGTCACACCATATTGTAGTTGATGATTCCATGCTTTCTTCCCATCCAATTTGCTCCAGAATTTTCCTCAGCCAGACACATTGTGAGGCACAATATGATGCAGCTACATACTCAGCTTCTGTGGTTGATAAGGTCACCACTGATTGCTTCTTTGAAGCCCAGCAAACTGCTCCTCCAGCCAGGAAGAACACATAACCACTAGTGCTCTTTCTGTCATCACTATCTCCAGCATAATCACTGTCTGTGTATCCAGTTAAGCCACTTTTGTCCGACTTTTTCTTGTACCAAATCCCATGCTGCATAGTACCCGTTAGATACCTTAGGATTCTCTTTGCTGCTAACATATGCTGTCTGGTAGGTGCTTCCATATATCTACTCAAAAGACATACAGAAAACATCATGTCAGGTCTTGTAGCTGTGACATACAGGAGACTCCCAATGAGTTGCTTATACTCAGTTGGGTTAACCAGAATTCCATCACCAGCCTTGGTTATCTTTGCTCCAGACACAATTGGATTGTTCACATAATTGCATTCACTAAGCCTGAACCTTTCCAAAATAACTTTTATGTACTTCTGTTGACAAATGAAGATGCCACAGTCACTTTGAATAATCTCAACCCCAAGGAAATACATCATCCTCCCTAGATCAGTCATCTCGAACTCCTCCTTCATTGACTTCCTGAACTCATCAATCATTGTAGAACTGCTACCAGTGACCATGAGATCATCAACATAAACACTTACTAATAATTTGTCAGATCCAGCTCTTCTGACAAACAAAGTGTGCTCATGTGGACTTCTCTCAAAACTAGCCTTCAAAAAATATGCCTCAATCCTGCTGTACCAGGCTCGAGGGGCTTGCTTCAGTCCATAAAGAGCTTTCTGAAGCCTGTATACCTTCTTTTCCTCCCCAGCAACCACAAATCCTTGTGCTTGCTCAACATAAACCTCCTCAAAAAGCTGTCCATAGAGAAATGCACTCTTGACATCAAGTTGAAAAACAGGAAAGCCATGATGAGCTGCAAAAGCCAAAAGCGTCCTGATAGTATCCCACCTTGCCACAGGTGCAAATACTTCGATATATAAATTCCATGTTGCTGAGCATACCCCTTGAACACCAGACTAGCCTTATATTTGTCAACTTCCCCATCTTCCTTCAATTTTGTCCTGTAAACCCACTTTAGGCCAAGTGGAATGACCCCTGGTGGACAATCTGTCAATATCCAGGTGTCATAACTCTTGATTGATTCTATCTCTTGCTTTATGGCCTCATGCCACCTATCATCCAACATTGCTTCATCAAATGTGAGTGGATCATCAGGTAAAGCTACCATAGCCCACCAGTCTGTGTTAGACCAGTTGCAGTCGTAGATGTTCAAGTAGCCTGGAGGCTTGCTAACTTGATGACCAAATCCAATATTCCCTGTTGCTGGCAAGCCAAGACTGTCAGTGGCGGAGTCATTATCCTCTTCAACTTCGCTAGGGTTGATTGTGGGGTCACAGGAGTTTCTGGATTAGTTGTTTCTTCAGTTGTGGCCTGATCCTCTTCTTCAGTATCAGAATCTGACTAGGTCTCATCATCTCCTTCCCAAATGAGCTTTGTCACATCTTGCTGAACTTCAGTTTCCCATAACCAACCCTTCTCTTCATCAAAAACTACATCTCTACTAATCACCACTTTCTTAGTGATAGGATTGTAGAGTTTGTAGGCTTTGGACTCAGAAGATAGCCCCAGGAAGTTGCATTTCATACTTTTAGCATCTAGTTTTTTTCTTTGCTAGTCATGGATGTGAGCATAAGCCACACAACCAAAGAGTTTGAAGTGCTCTACTGATGGTGGTTTACCATACCAGACTTCCTGTGGAGTTTTCCTTCTATTAGCAGCAGTTGGACTTCTATTCAGTACATGTGCTGTCCAAGCTACTGCTTCAGGCCAAAACACAGCAGGGACTACTGTATCAACAAGAGAACATCGAACTATATTCATTATGGTCCTGTTCTTTTTCTATGCAGTCCCATTTTGTTGGGGAGTAAGGGCAGCTGTAAGTTGCCTTCTGATTCCAGCCTCTTCATACACCTGCTTAAATTCTTTTAACAAGAACTCACCCCCTCTATCTGTTCTCAAGCAAGCAATATAATTTCCAGTCTCATTCTCTACCATTGCTTTATATTTCTTAAAAGCTTTAAGGGTCTCAGATTTGTCAGACAAAAAATAAACCCATAGCTTCCTGCTACAATCATCAGTGATGGTAAGAATGTACCTCTTTCCTCCGTTTGATTCAGGAGTAATAGGACCACAGAGGTCAGCATGAATGAGCTGCAATTTCTGTGTAGCCCTCCAGTTGCTTTTCTTTGGAAAATTGTTCCTAGGTTGTTTGCCAATCTGGCAAACCTCACATACTCCCAGATCTCCCTCCAACTTTGAAATACCTTGAACCAATCCCCTCCTTTTCAACTCCAATAAACTCCTCTGATTCAAGTGACCAAACCTTATGTGCCAAAGATGCAAAGTAGTTTGCAAACACATCACATCTTCCTTCTGTGGACTGATCACCTTGTCTGGACTAAGTACAAACATTCTGTTTGATTTCATAGTTGTTTGCAACAAATATCCCTTCTCCTCATGGAAAATTTTACACACTCCTCTCTGAATATGAAATTCTAGACCTCGTTCCTGCAATTGACCAACACTTAACAAGTTTGTTTGCAGTCTAGGGACAAAGAAAACATCCCTGATCAGCATAGGGAATCCATCTACCATTAGCTTCACTGATCCCTTGCCAGCCACCTTCAATCTATTGCCACTTTCCAGCTTCACATTGCACTCAAAAGTGGCATCAATGGTGGTGAACCACTGTCGCTCTTCACTCATATGATTGCTACAGCCTGAGTCAAGAAACCACCAGTTTTGGTTCTTCTCAAGTTGATGTGATTCCAGAAAGGCCATCAAGCCAACATCTTCTTCCTCAATCTCAGCCATGAGTAACAAATCATCTTTCATGTCCCCTTGTGATTTGTATGATGGCTCAAAACTAGAATAGTTTGCTTGCTGACTGAACCATTCAGGACACTCATTCCTGAAATGGCCCAGCTTGTGACAGTGGAAACATTGCACAACATCCCTATTCCAGCCTCGAGCTCTTCCTCTTCCTCTACTCTGGTATTAGCCTCTACCACCACCACCTCTGTTGCCTCCCCTTCCTCTAAAAACATGAGTAGCCTTGAGAGCATGCTCCTCTTCTGCAGCCTGCATTGTGAACTTTTGCTCATGGACAAGCAAAGAGCTCTGCAAAGCCTCAACAGAAAGGGTATCGATGTCCTTGGATTCCTCAATGGCACAAACGATGTAGTTAAACCTTTCAGTTAAGGTCCAGTATTTTCTCAATGATTTTAACATATGGCATTGCATCCCCACAATTTTTCATATCATTAGCAATGACCATAACCCTTCCAAAATACGCAGTCACAGTTTCACCTTCTTTCATGGTTAAAATCTCAAAGTTCCTTCTCAGAACCTGCAACTGTGATTTTTGCACCCTCTCGGTTCCTTGATGTCTGATTTCATGGAATCCCAAAGCTGCTTAGCAGTGGCCTTTTGAGTGATTTGCTTTAGGATTGATTTGTCTATGGAACTGAAGAGGTAATTCTTGGCTTTAAGATCCTTCAAGCGATTATCCTCCAGTTCCTTCCTTTGGACTCCTGACAGTTCTTCTCCTGCAGCAGGTTCTCTGAATCCATCACTTACAACATGCCAATACTCCTTGGATCGCAGCAAATTTTCCATTAACAGACTCCAGTGGTCATAGTCCCCGTCTAACTTGGGTAGACCAACCTGTGCAAAGCTGCTTTCACTCATGGTTGCACTCACACAATCCCTCGATTAAACTCTCTCTTTTGTCTCTCGTGTTTCCCAGACCCAGAAGCAATTGATTTCACTCTTTTCTCTCAAAGATGCACTCGTGGTTACAGTTTACTTGGAGGCTCTGATACCACAATGTAGTTTCAAGATAATGGTAAACTGATAATTTTATTCAGTGCATCTGATCAACAATAAGTACTTAGTTTCAGACTACACATTCGGCTATCACTAACAACCCATGACTCCTCAACCCTACAAAGTAGTCAACATGACTAACTAACTTGACAGCTAAGCCCTTGACCTGCTGTTACCCTTAGTCCACGCATGGACTTTATTTGACTCACTAACAGACTCAAAGGACTCAACTGAACTAAACCAGTACGACACAGTCTTGATATAAAACTTAAGCATTCAAACACTGCTGCTGATCTTCCCACCTTCTACTGCTGCCTCTGCCAACTCCTTCTGTGATGATCAAGGCTTGATTCTACCAACAGTCACGTGGTTTTCTGGGTTAGAGTATAATGAAGCTTGATTAGTGCCGTGATCAGAATATTAACAAAATCTTGTAACCGAAATAAAATACATGAAGAAAAGATTTGGGAAATCATAATATTCCAATGATCGTTATCAAAATGGTTCATAAAAAGTTATTTTATTGAAACTAAAAGGAGAAGAAAATCGAAGTGGAAAGTCACATATTTGTAGATATGTGGATTGGATTTATTGAACCAACAGTGGTTTAAACATTCCACCATTATGAATTTTTGAAAAAAAAAAATACTCACTAAAATGTCACTATAAGATTATTTTTTTCTTCTTCAAATTTTAGGTATTAAATTATAAAATATACAGGCACTAAAATGTAAATTTTCTACCATCCATGAAGTATCGACTAGTCTATTTGAATTTGGATTAAATGAAATGTATTCAAATAGAATGGATTAGCTTCATTTTTTAGTAAATTGATTAGTTTGAATTCAAATTGTCTATCTTTTGAAAAAATATATTTGTTTTTGAGTGATAATTGATCCCAAAATAAATAAAAAAATTGGAAGTGCGCAAGTGCAACCGTTCGCACTGAACTAAACTGATATTTGAATAGGACAAAGTATAATGCTTTTTTCGGTTTACCAAGTTAGCCAGTTAGGTACTTTTTAATTTGGTAAAGCATTATTATGGCAAAAATTACAAAGACTAAACCAAATGAACAAATAAAGCTCTTATCGATAATTCAATAATATAAATGTAAACGGCTGATAATACAACCTTTATTATTTAGTTTCGTCTTACGTATACATATGATTAATCATCATATTTAGTAATTAATCATTAGGCATTATTGCCTCATAATAGTAAAATATATTATGCATTTAGTTAAATTAAATTATCCAAACGACGCCGCTCCTTTATCTCTTGCAAACGACTCCACGCCCTTCAATCCCGCTCTCGCACTTCAAGCTCGGCAAGAAAACCCTCTCCGTCGCGCCGCTGCCGCCGCCGCCGGACCCAACAAACCTCGCCGCCTTGCAGTCGGGCGCGTAAAGGCTCGAAGTCTCAAACATCCTCTCCCCGCCCATCACAGCCATCTTGGCGCTGACGCTCACCGGGCTCACATACCCGGCCCGGTACGTTTGGCCCAAAACCCCATTCACATCGCCGCTCAGCGAGTCGAATCGAAACCCTAGATCCAGATGCGCCAGGCAATCGCTGGAAGTCACGCCGTAGTTGTGGATTCTCGAATCCTCCTGCGTAATCGGCACTACCCTGGCCGCGATTCTGAGCTTCCCTTCCACCTCGACCACCACGCTGTTGGCGTCGGCGGACCGGGTCACGGACGTTCTGGAAGTGGCGGTGGCTCCGGATTCCCAGCTGGCGCCTTGTCTCTCCGGGAGGAGTAAGGGCTCGCCGTCGAAGGTGACGAAGAGGCGGTCGACGGAATCGTCCCAGGTCGTGGTTTTCAGGGCTCCGACGGTGATTCGGTGGCTGTCGAAGAAGATGGCGATGGATTGGACCCAGGTGAAGTCGCGGGTCATCTTGGGGTTCCTCTTGCCGATGAAATGGGCGTTGATGTGGAGGTTTTCGTCGGAGACCAGGCAGAAATCGCGGTCCTTCTTGCCGTGGAAGTAGAAGGTGATCCCGTCCCCGCCGATGAAACGTGGGTCCTGGCATACTGCTCCTGGTTTGTCGCAGCCTGCCATGGATAATACACAAAGGGGAAGCATACGTCAGAGTTAAGGTAACATCGAAAACTTGTGAATGTAGTGCAAATTAGGGAACAAGTTGCAGAATTGATGAATGGAATAGATAGTGTTAGAGATGAGTGATGGTGTAGTTGTTTTAGGGAACTTACTGCAGACAGGCCTGCAAGTGACACAATCAACCACGCAGTCATAGGGGCAATTGCTGGGGCAGAGGAACTCTCTGTAGTAGCAGGCATTGTAGTTCTTGTTCATGCACCTTGATTTCTTTGGCACATTGCCTTTGGGTGGATATGGAGCTGAAGGAGTGGGAGGAGAAGCCGGTGGTGTTCCAGTTGGAGTAGGTGGCGGTGTAGGAGTGGGAATTGGTGCTGCAGGAACCAGTGTTGGTGATGATGATGGGCTTTGATGATCACCTTCGCTATCATGGTTATCACCCTTTCCTCCTTTGCTGTCCTCATCTCCCTTTTCTCCTTTGCCACCTTCCTTATCATCATCTCCTTTGCCTTTGCCTTTGTCATCTCCATCCTTCTCTCCTTTACCACCTTCCTTATCATCATCTCCTATGCCTTTGTCATCTCCACCCTTCTCTCCTTTGCCACCTTCCTTATCATCTTCTCCTTTACCTTTCTTCTCATCATCACCTTCTTTATCATCACCACCCTTCTCTCCCTTGTCTTTTTTCTCTCCTTTACCACCTTCCTTATCATCATCTCCTTTGCCTTTGTCATCTCCACCCTTCTCTCCTTTGCCACCTTCCTTATCATCTTCTCCTTTACCTTTCTTCTCATCACCACCTTCTTTATCATCACCACCCTTCTCTCCCTTGTCATTTTTGTCTTCTCCACCGTCTTTATCTTTATCATCCCCTTCTTTGTCGCCCTTGCCGTCGTCCAGAAGTGAACGGCCCGAGCCGCCGGTGCAGATGGGCTGGCAAGAGCTGCACTCAATGGTGCAGGTCTGGCCAGGGCACGACTTCTCACAGGCAGCTTCCATGTTCTTGCAGAGGCTCAGCTTGCCTTTGCATGGCGAGTTGCTCGCCTGGGAGACGATGACACTCAGTGACACGATCAAGAGAAGCGGAAGAACCAGATGTTTCATAAGGTGATGAGCCATTTTGTGGGAACTCCTTCTAGTATTCGGTTTTGGTGTATCCAAGAAGGATATTTGTGTTTTTGTGTTATGTCTTTGGTCTCCAGTTAACTCCCCTTTTATAACTTCAGGAATCTGGGAATGCTGTGTTTGCAAAGCAATCTCACATGGTATTCCAAAAGAGGAACATGGCTGGATGCGGATAGCTTTCAGCACTTGAGCCACTTTCTCCTGGTGCTAAGAAATGTTTTTCTAGGAAAGAAAATGGCAGCAGCCAGACAGGGTAGAGGCTGGAGAAACAGGGCGGCAATATTGTATTAACATGAATTGTTCCCTTGCAGGAATCTTTGGGGTAGAAGAAGCAGACGTACCTTGTAAAATGGACTGTGCAAAGACCCCTTTGCTTCTTCTTATTGGTGACTTGGAAGTTGAAGGTCAGCGGCGAGAGAGCTTTATGAAACTGGTTTTTGTCAAGTTGAAGAAAAGGGGTTTTTTCTGCTCACCATCAAAGCCAGCAAGAGGTTGCTTCTAGGGATGGCAACAAAGCCCGAACCCACGGGTACCCACCCGACCCAACTCGGTCAACGTGGGTAAAATTCGTGTTGACCGGTTTTGGGTTTAAACCCGTTCACTATTCACCGGGTTGGGTTTGGGTTTAGGTAAACCCGACCCATGGGTACCCGCCCACACCTATATAATTAATTTTCTCGATATATTTAATATTCTAAACAACTAATCTTATTTATATTTGTGGAGACATGTCTAATTTTTTCTTTTTAATTGTGTAGAATGAAGTTGATGTTATCGAGTGGAGAGAAGAAACTTAATTGAAAGGAAGAAGGTTTCAATTAATCATATTATTTATGGATAATTTGTGATTTGCTTCAATTTTCTTGAGGTTTCTAGATTGGTGTTGAACAATTTGTATAGTTAATTTGTGATTTGCTTGAATTTTCTAGAATGATGTTTTATATATGGATATTTTGTATTGAGAGATTGATATTTGACTTTAATTTTAATAGGAACTTGTTATTGTAAATTTTTTACGACAAAAACACGTGGGTACCCATGAACCCGCGGATACCCAACGGATTGGGTTGGGTTTGAGTTTTTCAAACCCAGTGAGTTTTACCCCGGGTATTTTTCACGGATAAACCTATGGGTTTGGGTTTGGCAAAACCCGATCCAACCCGACCCATTGCCATCCCTAGTTGCTGCTACGTCTTTCTGTATCCAGGTACTATGTTCATGATTACTAGAAGAAGTGATTTCCAATCCCAATTAATATTAGCGGCTTAGCCAATTCCATGTTGATTTCTTGATGTCTCTATTTCAAAGTGGTTGTACTTATATTTTTATGCAAGGCTTTGGTGATGAATGTAACTTTTTTTTTTAAAACCGTATTGGACATTCTTATGGTCAAGTAGGGTTGCAAATTACCCGAGCTGAGCCCAGTTTTACCCCAGCTTGAGCTTGACTCGTTAACAAATGAGCTGAGCTCGAGCCCGAGCCATTTATTAACGAGCCGAGTCGAGTTGAGTTAGAGCTAGGCTTGTTTACTAAATTCTTAGATCGTATTTGATACATTCATTTTGTATGTTGTGCATGGTACATGTGATTGATGTAGCAATAACAAAATAATCAAATATTCAACATTTATTAATCTTATTTTATAATTTTTAGGTGTCGATATTGTTTAGTTAATAAATTTTAACTAGTTCAAATCATGTTATTTCATAGTATCGAAACAATTTTGTACATAATTTCTTTATAGAATTAAAAATAAGGCATATTTTCTTACATGTACAACATGTTAAACTTCACATGATGTAAGATATATAATTTAACAATCCTATAAATTATGAAAGTCCAAATTAGATTGATTAGTCCATAAGTCGGTGATCAAGTTGGCCTTCAAACCACAATGTTGAGACATCTCATGAGCTTTAAATGAGCCAACTCGCGAGTTGAGCTCAACAAGCCAGTGAGTCGAGCTAGCTCGCGAGCTTCACGAGCTGAACAAAGCTAAGCTCAAGCTTGGCTCGTCAATAAACGAATCGAGTTTCGAACGAGTTTTTTCGGATTCGAGCTTCGAGTTGCTCGCGAGTAGCTTGACTCATTTGCAGCCCTATGGTCAAGTATACTAATTTTCGTTAGAGCATTTACACCAATGCCCTCGAAAAAATCAAGTGCATATGTTAACAATCTATGCAATCCAACTCATATTACTTGTATTTTGTCTACATTAATGCAATTCACTTACAATTGCATATGTGCTTAAATAAACTGAACGAAATAAAAAAAGATAATTCTTTTGCAGAAGGCAAAAACCCATAATTCCCCTAATTTTCAGACTTAATTATCGGTAGAGAATAGCCTACTGTCGAATTCGCGATCGGTAGCTTTTAAAATCAAAGGAAAATGGCCTAGCGAAAAATTGCTTAAAAATTATAAAAATGCCTTCCCGAAAAAATTCGCCAAGATGGGGGACTAATAGACTTTATCATTAGTGAAGAATAACCTCAAGTTGAATTCGTGATCTGCAGTATTCAAAATAAAAGAAAAATGACATCTAGAAAAAATCGTCCGAAATTTGTGATGGTATCTTTGTAATATGCAAAAAATGGTCACAAGAAAAAAATTCGCCCAAATTTGTGCTTAATAGGCTTAATCACCAGTGAAGAATAGTGTGATGCTGAATCCGTGATATGTATCTTTCAAAACCGAAGGCAAATGGACTTTCGAAAAAATCGTCTGAAACCTGTGATGGTATCCTTTCGGAATGTGCCAAAAATGGTCTCGAAAAAATCCGCCTAAATTTCTGCTTAATAGAGTAAAACATCGGTGAAGAATAGCCTAAGGGCGGATCCGTGATCTGTAGCCTCCAAAATCTAAGACAAATGGCCTCTCGAAAAATCACAAAAGATTACGAAAATGCCATCTGTTTTTTTTTTGCCCAAACCGTCAATTGATATACTTTATCATTGATGGAGAATAGTCACAGGCCGACTCCGTGATCTGTAGCTTTCAAAATTCAATGAAAATGAACTTTTGAAAAAAATCTCCCAAAATCTGTGATGTTATCCCTTTAGAATGTGCCAAAAGTGGTAATTGAAAACTCCGCTCAAATTGGTGCTTAATTGACTTTATCATTGGTGGAGAATAGTTTAAGGCGGAATACATGATATGTAGCCTTGCAAATCAAAATAAAATGATCTTTCCCAAAATCTGTGATGTTATCCCTTTAGAATGTGCCAAAAGTGGTAATTGAAAACTCCGCCCAAATTGGTGCTTAATTGACTTTATCATCGGTGGAGAATAGTTTAAGGCGGAATACATGATATGTAGCCTTGCAAATCAAAATAAAATGATCTTTCCGAAAAATTGCACAAAATTTACGAAAATGCTCTCCGAAAAAACTGGCCCAAATTGGCGATTAATAGACTATATTATTGGTGGAGAACAGCTTCAGGCTAAATCTGTGATATGTAGCATTCAAAATCCAAGGAAAATTGCTTTTCGAAAATATCGTCCGAAATCTGTGATGGTAACACTTTGAAAACTATCAATAATGATCCCGAAAAAATAAGCCTAAATCGATGTTTAATAGACTTAATCATCTGTGAAAATAGCGTCAAGCCGAATTCGTGATAACAATCTTCAAAATCCAATGAACATGACTGTTCGAAAAATCACCCAAAAAATTATGAAAATGCCATCCGGAAAACATTTTTCGAAATCGATGATTACTAGACTTTATCAATGGTATAATTAATAGCCTCAACCTGAATTCGTGATATGTAGCCTTCAAAATCCAATAAAAATGGCTGTTCGAAAAATCACCCAAAAAATTATGAAATTGCCCTCCGGAAAATTTTTGCCGAAATCGACGATTAATAAACTTTATCAATAGTAGAGAATAGTCTCGACCCGAATTCGTGATCTGTAACTTTCAGAAAAAAAAAAAAAACATCTCTCGAAAAATCGTCCAAAATTTACGAAATGCTTTCTGAAAAAAATCCGTCCAAAAAATTATAGGTTTAACAACCTTGATCCTTATCCTTTTTCTACTTGAATAGTTGAATTCCACTTTCTTCCTTTACAAGAAACACTAATTAAATTCGAAGATAATCACAACTAGAATAAAATAATTAATATTAACCTTAAATAATTCCAAATAATACTAATACGAATAATTAAATGAAGATACACAAACCTAATTATTGAAAATGCTACATCGGCTCGATCTCATAACACACCGCAGCCAGCATATATGCAAACATGGATCGAGCCAATATTACACATTTTTTTTCCACAACAGCCAATATTACAATTTACTAATAAATAATAACTTAAAAACTTTATTAATATGATTTATAAGTAGAGCCAATATATGTCATCACATTTTACCGTTGGAAAGTAACGGGTAGTTTGCTTCATGGATTTGAAAAATAAGATTTTGGTAAAATTTGTGTTATGTAAAATAATGGATATACGAACGGTTTGGGTTCATTATAGACTTGTAAAATACTATGGATTGTTTCATTGATTTTATAATGGATTTGATTAATTAGATTTGTGTACATGAAGTGAAAATGACCTATATTGTGCTTATTGGTATGAGATGAGTGTGATAAAAGGAGGGTAGTTTGGTCATAATGATGAACTTTAAAGTCCCTGATCAAGTCCCACCTAAAGAGGTGGAATTTTCAAGTCAATGGGACCCACGAATTTGGACCCTTAAAGTCCATGAGGCCCACGGATGTGTTGCCACAAAATGCATAAAACAAATAATGGAATTTTGACAAATTCTATAATAAATCCAAATCCATCGCCAAATCTACCGAGCAGACATAACTGTTACATCAAATGTCGTTCACCAAACTAGCAACTTTGTCACTCGAGATCCTTACCCGGCTTACTGCTTCTTCCCCTTCTTCCCCTTGTTCTTTTTATCCTTTTTACCACTGGTTTTTCCTCCAGTGGATCCTGCCCCAGGAACCTTGCCAACGTTTCCTTTCCCACCAATATCCGAGCCCACCACTGGCGGCACTGTTCCTATCTTCTGTAGCAACTTTCTTCTCTGGCCAGCTTCTTGACCCGAGCCGCCGTCGTCCTCGATGATGCTTACAGCTGTTGCTGCTGGTTCCGTGTTCTTGCAAATGCGCAGCTTCCCTTTGCATGTCGACGATGCTGGATGATTGTTGGGCTGCAAGGAGGTCGCAGTACTGTTCTGTACAGTTAGCAGCGACAGTGCTACCAAGAAGAGATGAAGAAGAAGATGATGATGAGCCATTTTCTTTGAATTAAAGAGGGTTATGGGTTGAGTATGCTATTTCTCGCAATAGCAGCAGCAGCATTTTTATAGCAGCAAGAATGTGAGATTGCATCAGGCATTTTGCTAGACATTTTAAGAACAACTTGGATGTTTTAGTTTGTAGAATAGTACTCATCAAGTCAACTCTTCGATTTGGCTATGGCAGGCGTGTGTGTATATATATATATATATATAAGCATAATTTAGTTGAGTCAATGGTTTATATAAAATGAAGTTCTGAATCACATGTCCAATTTAATAAGGTTGGTTTTAGATTTCTTGTTTAGAGAATTTTTTTATTATTATATAAATGGATGCAAAGAGATAGCACCATATCTTTCAATCAATCCTCTTCAATTGGCATGTAGTTTGACCGTCTTCCTACATCGTCTCGTGATTGATATTGTAGTCAGAAGCGTTTTGATAATATAGAAGGTTTAAATCATAAACTTTTACGATTACACTTTTAAGTAAAAGAAAAAAATTATAATTTTATGTAGAATCATATTGGTGACAAAAAAGCATAAAAACACAAGTTCTTAAGCGCAATTTCGACTACCATTCTCCTAATAGCTAGCCCCTGAGCGGATGTTCTTTTTTCAAAGAGGCAAATCAAAGGACAGTGTTGAACAAGTAGGAGTAACGGTTGAGTTTTATCATGGCGAACTAAATGGAGTTTTATGGTGGCGAACTACAAATTGGTAAATTTTCACCCAAATACCCACTAGAAAAAGACAAAAAATGTCAAATTCTCTTTCCTCCATGGGTCCCCCTTTTCCTTGAATCTAGCGACCATTTTTCCAACGTCTATAAAGAGAAAAACGGGCATTGCTATTCGTCGCCCTAAAATACCTTATTTGTCGCCCTAACTTTTGTTAAAATGACTCTAATGTCCTTTGTTTAAGTTTTGTTTCATAATCCATAAGCGACTGCAAGCGACAGGTCAGCTAGCCAGGTACCCGTCCCAGCTCGCCGACGACGGGATTTCAACCTGTCCGATGCTGACCAACAAAAAAAAAAAAAATACAAAAAATACAATCCTCTGCTGTGCTGCGTCTTTTTCTTCCTTCAGGCGGCGATCCGTGCAGGTGAATAAACCCATTTAGAAATCGTTGGCCCTGAGTTCAATTTAATAAAAATTTATCAAAATGTTTGTCTTAATTAATTTATCAAAATGTTTTAGTTTGTAGAATAGTACTCATCAAGTCAACTCTTCGATTTGGCTATGGCAGGCGTGTGTGTATATATATATATATATATATATATATATATAAGCATAATTTAGTTGAGTCAATGGTTTATATAAAATGAAGTTCTGAATCACATGTCCAATTTTATGGTGGCGAACTACAAATTGGTAAATTTTCACCCAAATACCCACTAGAAAAAGACAAAAAATGCCAAATTCTCTTTCCTCCATGGGTCCCCCTTTTCCTTGAATCTAGCGACCATTTTTCCAACGTCTATAAAGAGAAAAACGGGCATTGCTATTCGTCGCCCTAAAATACCTTATTTGTCGCCCTAACTTTTGTTAAAATGACTCTAATGTCCTTTGTTTAAGTTTTGTTTCATAATCCATAAGCGACTGCAAGCGACAGGTCAGCTGGCCAGGTACCCGTCCCAGCTCGCCGACGACGGGATTTCAACCTGTCCGATGCTGACCAACAAAAAAAAAAAACAAAAAATACAATCCTCTGCTGTGCTGCGTCTTTTTCTTCCTTCAGGCGGCGATCCGTGCAGGTGAATAAACCCATTTAGAAATCGTTGGCCCTGAGTTCAATTTCACCAAAGCTAAGACTTCCCTGAGCTATTTCTCTCTTTGGTTGCCCTCTTCTTTTCGAGACATCTGCTCCGACCTCCATTCCTTGCTATTTCCTTAACCAACTACAATTCACATCTTAATTGTGCATAATTGATTCTCTCAACATCTCTTATTCATTGACCGATTCTCTCGCCAGTGTCTGGGAATCCCAAGCCATCACTTCGCTAAATTTTCCGGCCAAGTTTCCACGACTCCACTTCCAAGTTCCCAGCTGCATCATTCTCTGTTTTGGATAAATCGCTCTCTCCTTCCTTCTTCTTCGCCTTCCTCCCTCCTCCTGGTCGAAAGCAACGACAAATATCAGCGGCGGCGGGGAGCGTCTCCGGCAGCGACTAATGACCTTCTTCTTAATCCTCCTTTGTTGGCAGCAGAGACCGAACGAGAGCAATACTTGGGTTGCCGGAGGCGACATTTTTCCCGGTTTAGGTTAGAATTGATGTTAGGGGTAAATGTGTCAATTAAGTGTATTTTAGGGCGAATTTTTTTGAATTTTAGGGCGACGAATAGCAATTCAGAAAAACAAGGGGGAAAATTTCCTTTTTAGTCCCTGAATTCAATTTCAACAACTCTATTAGCCTCCAACAACTTTTTTCTCAACTCTATCATTAATGACATTATATTTAACGATAATTTTTTTTATGTCAAATTTAATAAAAATTTATCAAAATGTTTGTCTTAATTAATTTATCAAAATGTTTTAGTTTGTAGAATAGTACTCATCAAGTCAACTCTTCGATTTGGCTATGGCAGGCGTGTGTGTATATATATATATATAAGCATAATTTAGTTGAGTCAATGGTTTATATAAAATGAAATTCTGAATCACATGTCCAATTTAATAAGGTTGGTTTTAGATTTCTTGTTTAGAGAGATTTTTTTTATTATATAAATGGATGCAAAGAGATAGCACCATATCTTTCAATCAATCCTCTTCAATTGGCATGTAGTTTAACCGTCTTCCTGCATCGTCTTCTGATTGATGTAGTCAGAAGCGTTTTGATAACCTAGAAGGTTAAAATCATAAAATTTTAGATTTGTAAAACACGATTACACTTGTGAGTAAAAAAATATCATAATTTTATGTAGAATCATTTTGGTGACAAAAAAACATAAAAACAAAAGTTTTTAAGCGCAATTTCGACTACCTTTCTCCTAATAGCAAGCCCCTGAGCGGATGTTTTTTTTTTCCAAAGAGGCGAATCAAAGTAGAGTGTTGAACAAGTAGGAGTAACGGTTGAGTTTTATCGTGACGAACTAAATGGATTTTTATGGTGGCGAACTAAAAATTGGTAAATTTTCAGGCAAATAGCCACTAGAAAAAGACAAAAAATGCCAAATTCTCTTTCCTCCGTGGGTGCCCCTTTTCCTTGAATCTAGCGACCATTTTTTTTTCTTTTTTGTAAAAACCATTTTTCTCTTTATAGACGTTGGAAACAAAAAAAAAGGGGAAAATTTCCTTTTTAATCCCTGAATTCAATTTTAACAACTCTATTAGCCTCCAACAACTTTTTTCTCAACTCTATCATTAATGACATTATATTTAACGATAATTTTTTTACGTTGAAATTTAATAAAAATTTATTAAAATGTTTATCTTAATAAGTTATTAATACCTTTATACAAATAATCTACAAACTATCTAATTCAAATGATGAAATCTACACTAAATTAGATTATTACACAAAAAAGTTTTGGCATTTTGGCATTGCTTGTTGGAGTAAAAACCACTTTTGGAGTGCCAAAATACCAAAACTATTTGGCATTTTCCCAATTCATTGTTGGAGATGGTCTTAATGTCTTATGTAGATGACCCTTTGCACTCTCTCTCACGTTGCTCTTTGTGCATGAATTGGTAATGAAAATGGCCATTACTAGGTCCATCCAATTTATTTCACGCAGTAATTACCTTTTCAACAATAATTAAGCTGGACGGTACAATGTTCATTGCTTGCCTATCATCTTTTGATATTGTAATAGAAGATAAACTTCGTTATTGTAAATTACCTTTTCAACAAATACTCCCGTAGGTATTGCTTTAAATTACAGCAGAGCATCATATTACATTACACATAGATGGTTATTTACTGAGAATACATCTCTTTATTGTTTATAAGAGTGATATATGTTTTACTTTATTTGTGACGGGTACTACTTAAAAAGATTTAAATTCAAGACCTCCAGATTCAAAACTCGTGGTGGTATATAACTTGTTCTTGATGAGAATGCATCTTGCTGGCGCTCCATCAGCTCCAACCAGCCTGATAGGCAAGCAATGAACATTGTAGTGCCCAGCTTCAACGTCATCAAGCTTCATGCCTTCAACGACAATGATTTCCTAGAACAAACAGAGTACAAATTAACCTGTGTCATTTCACACGTTGATCAATAGTGAAAAGTAGAATCCAATTTTTTTCTTCTTCTTCTTCTTCTTCTTCTTCTCTTTTCCTCTTACCCTGCTCTTCAGGAGAGCTAGATGAGCCGGACCATCCTCGACAAAGGCACCAACAGATATGTAATCAACTCCTGAGATTCAAAACACCAGAGCCAAATTCCTTAATTCTGTGAGACCATTAATTTGGTAGCTTCTTCTTCTTCTCGAGGTTAGAAGGAATGTTGAAAAAAAAATACTTGCCAACAAGTTTGATGTCTGTGTTGTCCACAAGCCACTGTGCCCCATCGGCCATGAACCCGACAAAGCTCGAATCGAACTCCGTCTTGTACATCAAACGCCTGAAAATGGAAACCCACAACCCGCAGATTCACATTCTACTCTTGTAAAATTGTTCATATAGTAGGATATGTAAAAGGGTTGCAATCGTTTCTTTCCGTTTTTACCTATCGGTATTCAGAGTCCTGAACAACACACGCCTGGTTCCTTTTGGGATTTGCAACGACTCCATAACTTCAGCTGTTTGCATTCACCAGTAATGTTACAGAGAGCAAGAGGCTAAAATTTCTATCAGAGGAAAAAGCTATAGCAAATGATGGTTATACCACTACTACTTTACCAGTAATGTTACTGTCCCTGGGAACATCAACCAACAATGCTGGGCCTGCAAGTAAGAAATTGGTAATTGTTACGGGACAATCCAAATACCACATCAGTAATACAAGGGAGCGGGGAATTCTTGTATTTAAGTGTCCACCAAGCTCATTAGTACGATATTGTCCGCGCGCTTGAAGTCCACACTCAGACTATTCTTAGAGAAATTGATTTTAGTTTACCGTTGAGGACGGCCATGTCGAGGGACTCGAGGGTGTAGCCGGCGTCGTAGTAGTCCTGGTAGAAATGTCCCGGCGTGTCGACGTGGGTCCCGGTGTGGGTCCCCAACCGGTTGATCTCGCCTTCGTTAACCGCCGAGCCGTTCTTTATGCTCTGCACCAGGCTATACACTGGGCCCACCCCGCCGGCCGAACCGAACTTGCACAGGTTGGGTTCCAGCCCGTGGGTAATGTCGAAGATCTGGCCGTTACCGTACACCTCCCTCACCTCCGCCGGCGGCAGCCCGCCGCTCGCGGCCGTTACCAGGAGGAGGAAGAGGAGAAGGCAGAGTTCCTTCATGATGATCGTTTGAAGTAGAAGTAGGAGAGAGAGAGGGCGAGAGATTGTGTGTGTTTTGTTAGAAACTTAGAAGTGTGATATATATATATAGTAACAATTAGTGATGGGAATGGGGCGGGCGGCTACCTCAATTCCCATGCCCCGCCCCACGTTATTACGGGTCGGGGTGGGTAAACCCACGCGGGTACGGGGCGGGGTGGGTCGATCCACTCTTAAATGTTGTTAAAAAAAAATACAAGTAAATTTTACTTTTTTACAATGAAACGTAGGGAAAAACACTTTAAGAATGAAAAATATTGATAATAGAATGGATAATTGAGCCTAACAAGTTGAAAGATCGACTCTAACTAGTTGAAAAAAGTCAAAATAGGAAAAATATGTATAGATATTGTAAGAAATTGACATAAAATGAGTCTAGGACAGGACGGGGCAGGGCAGGGCGGGTCGGAAATAGATACCCATGCCCGCCCCATCGCGGGTCAGGTCGAGTAATACCCGCGGACTGGTTGAAATTGCCAATGGGTCGGTGGCGAGCATTGAGGAGAAGTTCGTCAATTGTGTCAAGCTTCAAAGAATGAAAAGGACAAAGAGAGGGTGGTTGAATATTACGATATTTGTTTATGGAATACGTACAGTTATTATTGCAGTTACTGCTGCAAGGGGACCATGCATGCAACGTACAATTATTTTTGGACACGTTCAGTTACTATTTCAAGGGGACCATGGATGCAACGTGGAGGGGAATTCACTCGACGATCCAAATGAGACGAAAACGGTCCATCCCCGCCGGCGGGACCACTTTCACGGCGTTCAAAACGTGGGGGATTCGCCGGACCGCAGATTTGCTTGTTTTGTCCTCGCTCTCGCTGCCGACGATGTCTATTAGGTCATTCTCTCTTTTTTTTTCTTCTTCCCTTCCCCTTTCTATTTAAAAGCTAACAAGATCGAACATAAATCCACCAATTTCTGTTTCAATAAACAGAGAGAAATATCATCCAGTTATCACAAACAAGTATCGATTAATGTCGCGTTGATCACGTAAGATTTATCGAACCGTTCATGTCATCTCATCAAACATCATCATCATGGCACACGAGCTTTTGCTGGCGTTTCCTGTAAGGAACCTGGATAATTGCGTAGAAATTGAGAGGTTAATGAATTTTTCAAGGGGTTGCATATATAGAGCTTAATGATTTCTTTGATATTGTCTATAAAAAAAATTCGGGAGCAAATTGTGTTAGAAACCGAACAGAAAATAGGGTTACCGATCTGGCTGAGTCGCGGACTAGGTCGCTCTCTTTAAGACGTTCGCGGCGCTGCCTCATAATTCGCACAGCAGACTAACAGCCGGTCGCCTCCAGGATAAAACAACCACTCTTATTTATTGCTCATCGGTTTTGTGCGGAAAACCGGAGCTCTATGAATTCACTCTCTATCGTGTTTCTGCTCTTCTGAGGTGTGTTTAGAGGGTCTGGGGCGTCTCCTATTTATAGGAGCAGAAAACCCAGAATATTCCCTCTTTCTTTGGGAATAAGTCATATTTTAATTAGGGAGATAATTACTCCCATAATTAAAATATAATCTATTAAGATAATTATTCCTAATTATCTCCATAATATTCCTTTTATTAATTATCCATCTTATTTATGTATTATGGGAAAATACTGGATAATTAATTAGGAATTTCATTTATAGCTTTTCAAAGCTATTCATCCCAACAATCCCCCACTTGAATAGTTTGAAACTATCTCTGAGCATCAACAGTTCCATAACATCGGGCATAAGCTAAGGTATCGCGAAGATTTGAACCTTAGCGTAGTGGTTACACTTCCGATTTCATAAGGGTGACTCGTAGTCTTGAACCCTATCTCAGACAATGTAGCACACCGGATCTTTTCATTGAGTGATATTCTCTCATAGGCCGTGCGTTAATGGCCATGCACGTTATCCCGGTTTAGTGAACGCTCTAGCAACTTTGTGCCTCCAAAGTTCCATAGGGAGCGGCCCCACTCCCACATTCACATGGGTGAGTCTATCAGAAGTACCCCCAAAGTAAAGTACTTCACTCCACATAGAGTATAGATCTCATTAAGAGTTGTACTCAACCTCCAAGGCTTTGGGATTCATGCTTCACTATGCATGAACTTTTCTCAATATTACTCATGACTTGTTATTACCCATTGAACCCGTTTCTTGGGATCTCCAGTCTATCGGGTCGGGTTACCATCACTTGTAATCCGTGGTTCGGTAGGCATAAGTCTCATACCCTTTGTGGTATTTTGGACTTTCTCTCTAGGTAATCCTTTCGTCAAAGGATCAGCTAGATTCTGTTCGGATCTTATATGATCCACCCTCACTACTCCTATCGTTAGGAGTTCTCTTACAGTACTGTGCTTACGACGAATTTGTCGTCTCTTTTCATTCTAGAACCAGTTCCCTTCTTTAGTAATAGCTGCGGTGCTATCACAATGAATCAACTACCGGAGGGATCGGTCTTTCCCATAAGGGAATCTCTAGTAGTGACCCTCTCAATCAACTTTCCTCTTTACTAGCCATTGCTAGTTCTATCATTTCTGATTTCTTAGTTGATTGAGCCAGGATCGTTTACTTCTTAGACTTCCAAGACATAGCTTCTCTATCGATGTTTAAAACACAGCCTCTTGTTGTCTTGAAGTCCTCTATAGGGTATTCTAATCCGCATCACTATACCCTACCAATACAGCAAAACCATTGATAACAAATACCAAGGTTTTTCTGTTCTTTTAAGGTGTCTCATGACCCCTTTCAATAGCATTTCAATGCTTCATACTAGGACAATCAGTAAGCCTGCCAAGTACCCCCACTATGTCGGGTCTCATGTTTATCAGCTGCCTCTCGCATACTGTCGATGCTAGTATGTTCTTACTTTCTTACACTGTCTTTGGTGCTCTTAAAAATTACACTAGCATCATCAAACATTTATGCAGGTGTAGAACTCGTATTTCCTCTAGATCTAACTGTGTAGTTAAACTGACCTAGATGAAATCTCTTTCATTGTCCTAGTAATCTGGATCTCCGAGCATAACACTTGCTTCATCCAGATCTTTTTACCTTCATAATTCTCAAACAACATGGTTTTTCATAATATTGACATCACGAGTCTTTGTACCAAAGACCGAAGTGTCATTCATAATGCAAGTGTCATTCTCAAAGTTGTACTAAATGCACTTGTCACTTTCACTTTTAAAACCATGAGAGAGAACCAGTTTATTCATGCCATTGTCTTAGAGTCTATTTCAAATCTTACAATGATTTGGCTAACTATAGACTCCCTAAGCATGTTCAAGAATAACAACCCTATAGGTTGTCCCATGTAGATTATCCTATCTAAATCACCATTCACATAAACATGTTTAACAATCCATCTGACGCACAACACTAGCAATCAGAACATACATGGATGTTATTCTACATATGGTGAATAGATAACAAAAAATTTACAATTTTTACTTTTCACTTAAAGCCTTAGCTATTAGCCGATCCTTATACTCATAAACTAAACCAATAGGTTTCACTTTTCTTTTAAGAATCCATCTATTACCCATGACTTCATTGCCAAGAGGTAATTCTCAAAAATGCCAAATCTTGTTCGATTCTATCGATATATTACCCAAGGCTTTTCAACCAAGAGATAACTCTACAAGATTTTAAGTCTTATTAGACTAATAATTCCATTTCGTTAATAATGGATTCTCCCACAATTCTGCATCTTTATGGAAGTTCGAACTTCTGGCAGACTTGTAGGATCTTTCTTTCTTAGGGTGTAAATAACAAATTCATAACCAAAAACCTTAAGAGATTTCAGGTTCATTTGCTTCTTCTGAGTTTAAACTCAGATTTATTACCCCCACTAGTTCCATTATTTCTAATAGTAGGCAGGACACTACCCCCACTATTTCTTGATTTAAAATGGAAGTTTCTTGGCATTAATGGATTTCACAACAACATGAGTATTTCGTTTCATAGGAACTATGTGTTTTTATTGTTAACAACATAAAACACACTCATATGCTCTTCTAGTTATCATGTTACACTGATTTTCTAACGCTACCACATACATGCCACATATCGAATAATCAGTGCAATCATAAAGCAATTAGGCATTTCAAACCATTTCAAATAACTAGTCACTCTAAAGAGCAATAAATTGTTTATTGTCTTTTCCATCAAGTTTACCCACATAAATCAGATCTATTTATTCTGATTCTCTAATTAAAATATTTATGGGTCATTTAGCTTGGATATAGAAAATTCATATTTTTCTCAAGCATCCAATAATAATATGGGAATGCGATATAAGATATTCTAATTCTTCACACAGACACACTTGGAAGAATTTATCTTATCTACTTAACCATTCCTTACATCTAGGATAGTCAATGACTTTCTAGAGGCAGAGTCCTCTTCCACTTTTCCAGAACCATCAACAATAGTGGTGAGGGTCTTGCCCGACAACACTTTCTCCTTCAATACGCGTCAATGTATGATTGAGCTTAGCTCGTTTATCACACACATATCTTGAAGCGGTCCTATCCAACAACCATTCTTCAGAGTTACCATTAAGGCTAACCTCTGTCATCACCTCAGTGAATATTATTACCAAATCCTCTTCTTTAGTCAAGTTAACACTAGGTTAAACTTGTTCTTACACTTTCGTGTCTTATGACCTAGTTTCTCACGAATTTAACAGAGAAACATAACGTCATTCTTAGAGGATTGGGTGACAATCTTATGTTTACCACGATAGGTACCATTCTAATTGGTGTGGATCTGGTTCAACTTGCTGCTCTCATTCTTGAAACTTTAATGTTTCACAGCAATCTAAATGGTTCGTGTAGTACTGATAATAGTACTTCTTATAATATCGTTATTATGGGCAATAAACCCATTCTATTCCCATATATTCTTCACATATATGTATGCATTTAAACAAAATCATTATATTCCACAACATGTATTCAATTTCTAATCATCGAGGTAATAAATCTCAATGTCAACATACATCAATTCTAGATTTTCATTTCTAGCATTCATAATGATTCTCAATTCCATGCATATGGTAGATTCTAATTTGTCATTAATAAATGACTCATAAATAAGGTTTCAGTTCTTACCTCTTTCCCGAGAAGCCATGCACAACTTCCTCGTTTTATTTTCCCGACCAGTGTCTCGGTCTTCTCCTTGTGGATCCCCACATCAGCAGCAATCATCAGTTTGGACTGGGCTTTCCGGCCCAGCTTACTGCTGACTGTTAGATTCCAGGGGGTGCGAAGCCCACTTCGGTGCATAGTATAATGCATCGGTGTACAGGGTAGAATGTTCTCAGTTTCCGGTAACTCTACACTAGAACTCATCTTCTTTAAGGTCGCTGCCAGAGTCCAAGGGCTCAAACTCGTCAAGAGGAGCGTCGCGTTGAGCGAGAGGTGCTTGGAGCAATTGCACCTCTAGCAGTGTGGGACCGGACGCTAAGCAGGTTAGGGTTGGAAACAACGCCGAAGGACTTGTAGTTCTTGATGACGCTGGCCTTGTCGTCCCACTTGAAGTCGTAGTCGTCGCCGGCGGCAAGAGAGCGGAGCTTTGGTCCAATTGAATAGGTCGTCGGCCATCGGGGCAGAGTGAAACCGATCGAGGGTTTACAGAGAACCAGCGGTCATCTTCATGGTCGTAGTTGCATACGAGCGAGGCCTATTGGAGCTTGATGCGGCAGTTGCAGGTGGTGGTGGAATCCATGTCCATGGCGGCGGAGCGCATTGGCAAAGGAGAACGAAGCTCGTCTCCCAGCGCCCGGGAGATTGATTCGTCGCGTCCAGTGACAAAGCGGAGATGGTACGCTAGGTCGGGAGATGGCGGGGATACGCTAGGTCGGGAGATGGCGGGGATGCGAATAGTGAGATGCGACGAGGATGGCCGCAATCGAAGGGTTTTAGCAGGCCGCGTCGTGAGTCGTGACTCAGAGTAGGTCAGTAGGGCAGAGAAGAACACAATAAGCGAGTATGTATCGGATTAAGCCTTGAGCCCTTCGCAAGCGGAATTGAATTTGCTGAGAGCGTCCTGCTCCGTCAAGGTTATGGAAAATTGATAGCTAGATCGGCGAACTCAAGCGAGCCAGAATCGGTTCCTATTCGATATTATGACAGCCACTGTACGTCTTAAAATTGTTAGAAACCGAACAGAAAATAGGGTTACCGATCTGGCTGAGTCGCGGACTAGGTCGCTCTCTTTAAGACGTTCGCGGCGCTGCCTCATAATTTGCACAGCAGACTAACAGCCGGTCGCCTCCAGGATAAAACAGCCACTCTTATTTATTGCTCATCGGTTTTGTGCGGAAAACCGGAGCTCTATGAATTCACTCTCTATCGTGTTTCTGCTCTTCTGAGGTGTGTTTAGAGGGTCTGGGGCGTCTCCTATTTATAGGAGCAGAAAACCCAGAATATTCCCTCTTTCTTTGGGAATAAGTCATATTTTAATTAGGGAGATAATTACTCCCATAATTAAAATATAATCTATTAAGATAATTATTCCTAATTATCTCCATAATATTCCTTTTATTAATTATCCATCTTATTTATGTATTATGGGAAAATACTGAATAATTAATTTGGAATTTCATTTATAGCTTTTCAAAGCTATTCATCCCAACAAATTGAGAGAGATTGAGAAGAGAAATTAGGGTTATGAGATTGACTATTGATTACAAGAGATATTGGAATATGAGATTACCGTAAAATATTAGTTATGATAAGAGTTCTTAACCAAAGTGAGCAGGTATCATTTTTCGTACCCAATTAAGACAGACTTTTTAATGACCAATAATTTTGGTGACAAAAATACCATTTTGACAAATACGTTTTTTGGTCACAAAATTCATGTATGGTAACCAAATAAAAATTTGGTCATAATGGAATGTGACCAAAAGGTTCCACCAAATAGGTTTGGCGACCCATATTTGACTCTCTAACGCACTCTTAATGTTCTGTCAAGAAAAGAAAATTTTGCTTCACATGAATATATGAATATATATGTGTTAAATGATAGATGATACTGCTTTATACCTGTGATGTGACTAACTAATAAAGAATTTCTTGATAAGAACATGTGTTGTCCTACAATACGAATCGCGATAAATCGACCTATTTGATTAGACTCTTTCAAACCTTATTTCAGTGTATTTAGGGTCATTCCTATACACAGATCACCACCAGCGCCGCAGGCATATTTATGCATATACTTGAATTGAGCCAATATTACACTTTAATAATAAGTAAACACTATGTGGCGATGCCGCGCCTTGTCGCGGGCGGAGATGACCTATAGGCATGTATTGTGTAGCCCGTTATGGTGTTTTGGTAGTATTATTAGCCTAAAATCAATTTTTGTTAGCAATTTTGTTAGTAAATTGACTAAGAAGAGACATACAGCGGTCAACATCCAATTAAATTTTTGTTAGAAAATTTTGGCTAGTAAATGATATTTACCTAAACCCAAGTAGACCTATTGATCATGGGTAGAGTATGGGTGACATAGATATGAGGTTGGAAGTTTGTAGATGAGTTTGGGTAGGATATGAATATTTATTTCTATAATCTAAATATGTATGAGTTGGCTATGGATACCCATCTATTCGAGGGTGTTTTAATTACACGTAAAAAAATTTGACCTATTTGTAGAAATTCAAAAGTTTAGGAACCAAAATGTAATAGACAAAAAATTTAGGTGCTCAATTTTGGGGTTGGGATTATCACCCCAAACATTCAATGTATAATTGTTGAAAATTCTAGTCCCGGTTAAAAAGAAAAACTTTAGAGACAAGCAAAAGGAATACAAATTGTAACTCGCTTAGAATTTCATGCCTTCAAATCCCATAGTGGAAAATGACAAATTTCTAATAAGTGATAACCATATATATTTATTTTTAATTGGACTCGACATTGAGATGAAAAAAAGTTAGTGGTTCATGGTTCAATTATTAGTTCCCTAAACTGTTGGTGAGTCGTGTATGGACCCGTTAATTCATACTTGTGATTGGAATACATACACTACAAGAAAAAGGACTTTCAGCTACCATTTTCTTGGCGACCATACAAAAATGGTTGCTTATAATCAGATTTTGCCAACCATTTAAAAAATGGTAGCAGATACCTAACTCTAGCGCAACCAATAGTAGAATGGTCACCATAAATCAAAACTTCAACAACCATTTACAAAATAGTTGGTGATACTATACCCTTAAGCAGCCATAATGTAAATGGTTGCGGATAAATAAAACCTTTTACGACCATTTCTGAAATCGTTGTTGATACCCTACCCATAAACAACCATAATCTACATGGTTGCTGATAAATGGAAAATTCGACAACCATATGTGAAATGGTTGGTGATACCCTATCCTGAAGCAACCATGAGGCACATGGTCGCTAATAAATGAAGAGTTCGGCGATTATTTCTCGAATAGTTGGTGATACCATATTCTTATGCAACCACGATGTACGTGGTTGCTAATAAACAAAAACTTTGGCAACCATTTGTGAAATGGTTGGTTATACCCTATACTTGAGCAACTAAGAGTCAAAGAGTTAACCATAAACAAAAACTTCAACAACCATTGATAAAATGGTCGGTGGTACACTCCAACTGTTAGCTAATTTTAAATGGTTGTCAATAGCCAAAACTTCAACCATTTTCAATATGGTTGGTTATACGCAGTTCTTAAGCAACCATTTACAAAATGGTTGGTGTAGTCTCGGCCAAACACCAAACGCCCAACGTTGTCGTTTTATTGCTGAGCAAAGTGTGAAAAAATAAAAATCGACAGCGTCTCCCTCCATGCTCATGTCCTCCCTAGGTCTGGCGGTCTCCAAAGCAACACCAGGCCGCGACGATTGTTGACGAGATAGTGATCACAGAGAAGCTACGGCGATGGACGAGGGGAGACGACGATGGCGCCCGAGATCCAGATCGAGAATCGACGACGGCGGCGGGTGACGGTTGGTGGCGCCATCGAATTTGGGGCTGGCCCTTTGCTGGAATTAGGTTTTCAGCGAAGGCGACAACCTGAACACTATCCAGATCAATTCCCCTGACGTTTCCACCAAAGGGTCTTCCGGGTTGGTCACAAGTTTTCGAATTTTGCACTCTTTCTCTTTCAATTTGCTTATTACTGGTTGAATATCTAGTATGCGATCTAGGGATTTGGTTTGGGGAAAAAGGGAACTTGGAATTTGAATTGAGAACCTCTGAAGCTATTGATCAATCATTGGGTTTTTTTATTTCGTAATAGGAATGAATTTTCTCGTTCGTTTTCTGAAAATTAAGGGGTTGGGCTATATAATAATAGTCCCATGAATATGTCTTTCGGCTACCATAATGAAGGGTTGCTTAAATTCCCACCTATGTCTTACTCTTTGGCGACCTTGTCAAATAGTCGCTGAAATATCCCATTTGACAACCATAAGTGAGCCTGTTGCCTGAAATAGTATCTTGCAGCGACCATAAATATGGTGGCTGAAATTCTAGCTTTTCACCAACCATTTTTGGATAGTCGGTGAAACATATAGAGCCAACCGTAGTAAGATAGTCGCCGAATTGGTTTTTTGCCAACCATAGTTTATAGTTGCCGTAAGTAGACCTTTGGCGACTATACCAAAAAATGGTCGCCTTGGACTTATGCCAACGCAGTATTGCCGACTATGTTGGCGACTCTCATTTATGGTCGCTGAAAGGTTTCAGCAACCATTTTTTCAGTTTGGGCAATCATAATTGATAGTTGCGAAAAACATATTTTCTTGTAGTGATAAAAATAGTATCCTAATTAGGGTTAGACGAAGAAGGCAAAGAAAGAAATAAAGAAAGGGTTATGGAAGGCGAGTGAAAAAATGAAACGAAGAGGAAGTAGATGATGGAAAGGTTTTGTCCGATTCTTTTAGTTGGTCGTCAATACAACATTCAACTCTTTTCACCGTAGCACTTTATTGACACTTGTTTATGTAGATGTCGCATATTTTATTACAGGTAGTTAGTAGAAGTTTGTTTAGTACCCCATAAATGTACTAAATGAGATACCAAAACATATTTGTTCAATGATTTTACAATAAAATAAAATTTGAGGTATCAAAATGTAAAATCTACATTATAGTGACTAAGTTGTGATTTAATTAAATTTGGGGTGGTTAGTAGAAGTTTGTTTAGTACCACATAAATGTACTAAATGAGATACCGAAACATAATTATTCAATGATTTTACCTTAAAATTAAATTTGAATATCAAAATGTAAAATGTACCTTATAATACTAAGTTGTGATTTAATTAAATTTGAGTATCAAAATGTGAATTTTTTAGCAACAGTAACCAAACTTCTGCTTTATATATATTAATTAATGTTCTATATCCTTCAATGATCGATCCTCTTCTATTGGCATGTAGTTAATTTGACTGTCTGCTATATCATCCCCTAATAGCTAGCCCTGAGAGGGCGTTTCTTTTCGAAGAGACGAATCAAATTATAGTGCTGAACAAGTAGGAGTGACGGTTAAGTTTTATGGTGGCGAACTAAATGGAATAAGTTATATAGTGATCACAGTGCTGTGAAAAAAATAAGCTAGACTTCTCAATTGAGTGAAAATTTTGAATTGAATCGCATGCCACTTTTAAATTGGGGGATATTTTTCGTTTTAATTCAAGGGGTTGGTTTATTTTTTGGAAAGGGTTAATATATTTGTATAGCCTGAAATTTGCAAATAATAAACATTCTGACCAATCTTTCTTTTGTTTTTTTTTCTATGCTGGCTTTTGCGTCTCTGCTGCTGTTCTTTGTCCCTTTTGTTTCCTTTTGTTGATCCTTTCCGCAGTTTGTCTTTGCTGTGCTTTTCTTGGAGACTGCCTAGGGATTGTTTGTTTTCGGTTGCCTCTTCTTGGGCTTCTATTTGTATTTTCCTTTCCTCTCCTAATTAATACTATATCATCCTTATTAAAAAAAAAACATCCTGCCCCAAACTATACATCAAAGTTACTAGATCGAAACAACGAGTTTGGCCAATTTCGTAACTTTGATGTATAGTTTGGGTCATGATGTTATAGATCGAAAAGATTGACTAGAATGTTTATTATGTGCAAAGTTCAGGCCATACAAATATATTAACCCTTTTGGAAATGCTAAGTATGTTCTGATTTTTCTTCTCCGGACAACTTAGTGTTTTGTTAATAGAAATAAAATCAAGGTAGGTGTGTTTGTAAACCAAATCTGTTCATATGGCGGTATACTCTATTTACGTGACTCTGCAAATGCTGTTGGGTATTTGCGGAAGTAATTGTAATTTTGAATCAAGACAAAGGAAACAATTGGTGTTTAATCACTCAATTTAAAAATCACTCAAACAAACAAGGTCTTACACTTTTGGCACTTGCTTTTTACATACACAGACGTAGAAGCCTTTCTTTCTTTCTTTCTTTCTTTTTGTTTTGTGTCTCTCTGAAACACTCTTCTCTACCCATCCCTTCTCATTACATATATATATATGTATAATTGCAATTAAAAGAGAAACTAATACTACAATTAATACAAATGGCCATCTATTTCCTCCACCCACGTTGCTACTTGTGGAAGATGGAAACACAAATTTAATTCCATTGGCCCATGCATTAACTCTTGATTTCTTTTTCTTCTTTCACAGATGGGATTGGAGACATGATGATATTTGAGAAGCTCCCAAGCATGCCATGTCTCTAGTATAAATGCATTAGGTGGTTTTTCTTGTCAATGTCTTGTTGGTAAAGCACTCCTCCATGTGAAGTTTATTCACGTCAACTTTGGTAGGATGAATTATGTGGTGTTCCTGTACCAAGCTTGGAACTCTCCACTTTTGTTTATTTATTATTATATTTTTAATTGCAAATTACCAATAAACACCTCTTAATTTGCAATTTGAAGTACCTGCTTGAATTTCTCGAACTTCTCACGGGTGACCGCCTTTGTCATGATATCTGCTGGCTGGTCATCAGTGTTGATAAATTCCATCACGATTAGCCCTTCGTTGACGAGGTCTTGGATGAAATGATGATGCAACTCGATATGCTTCGATCTTGCGTGAAATACTGGATTCTTTGTCATGGCTATGGCTGACATGTTGTCACAATGAATAATGGTTGGACCATTTTCATTTTGCTGCAAATCAGAAATTAATCTTTTTAGCCATACCGCTTCGCATGCTGCATCAGTAGCTGCGATATATTCTGCTTCCGCTGAAGATAATGCCATAGTCTTCTGCTTCTTTGAACTCCAGGAAATGGGTTTTGAACCCAGACAGAATATGTACCCCGATGTACTTTTTTGATCATCTAGTGATCCTGCCCAGTCACTATCGGTATATCCAGTTAGCTTGCTTTCTGCTTCTTTCTTGTACGTCAGGCCCAATTTTTTTGTACCTTGAAGATACCGCAAAATTCTTTTGGCTGCTGCAGAATGAAGTTTGCTAGGTTCACTCATAAATCTTGATATAAGCCTTACTGAATGACATATATATATGGGGAGTTCTACGGTACCCCTGGTGAAATCCGGGGTACCGCATACCTTAAGTAAGAAAACGCTATCTAGAATATATATATATATATATATATATGGGTCTGGCTCGTATGCTCCAGACACATAGCATGCTCCAAATTCTCCACACCGTTGATTTAATCTGATGGTCTTCATTAAATATGATAATATTATCTATAATTTACAAATTAAAGATAATTAATTGATTCCTTTACATTTTAATACGCTCTCTTTAATCCCCCAACAAATGATCATTTATTTTCACAGTACGGTACCTAATTTTTTTTAATCATAACTTGTAGAATTTGATGATGCGGAATTGAAAATAACACGGGACAACGAGTTTTACGTGGTATCCTCGATCTATTGATTGATCGAGACTAATCCACGGTGAGCTCGGAACGAGCTCACGACTGATGTTTTATTATACGACTACATCTTGACAGCTTGCTTACGACATGTTCGTAGCTAAGCTTATATAGAGATAGACGTAGGGTTAAAACCCTAAGGACAACCAAGTTTCCTTCTTTTACTTGAACAAGGAAAACTAGAGACTTGTAGGACAAGGAATTAATTACTTTTTGACTAAGTAATTAATATCCTCAACACTCCCCCTCAAGCGAAGACATGAATGACAATAATGTCGAGCTTGAAGCTGAACAACACTCAAACAACCTCTTGCTGGCAATGACGATCCAACAGGCGGTGACTTTGTTCACTTGTGGGAGAGGTAGACAAATGACGAAACTACTCCATGCTTGACCCAGTTCTTTGACAGTGAACTCAGCATTGGCGAAACTCCTTGACGTCGTGGATGAGACTGATCCTACTCCATGCTTGACCCAGTTCTTTGACAATGAACTCAGCATGGCGGAATTCCTTGACGTCTTGGATGAGATTGAAGACTGATGACTGCGTTGCTAACTTTGGAGACTTCTACCTGCACTGCTGACTGTGCTTCCCCGAGCAACATGATTGATAGATACACACGGTCGACTTGATTACTGAACTAGTCGACCTACATTGATTCCCTATTCTCCCCCTCAAGCTGGAGCATGAACAATGTGAATGCCCAGCTTGAAAGTTAGAACGATGATGACTCAACATTGACCGATGCTGAACGTGGAGGGGACGATCGCTTCTTTGATCGTGACTACCTCGCGGGATGACTGGAAAAATTTGTTGACAGAAGCTGCTCTATCTCCCCAACACTAGCTATTGAAGGGACGACCAAGACATGTCGCGATTGACTTCAACGCCATGACTTTGATGTTGGTAAAGATTGACTTACTGCCAGACTGTGAAGATGACTCGTCTGTAACGCCGGAACAAACTCCAAACTGTGGCTGCCTTTGACGAGAACATGACAAGCTGTGAGGATACTTTTCGAAACCCCTCTCAACGGATGATGATGACTTTGAACCCATGTTGTAATTACTGACAACTGAATCCAAACCTTCTGTTGACTCATAATTTCGTTGACTCAGTGAACTCCCACCAACCAAAACTCCAAACTTGAATGAACCAATGAAAGGTTTCTTCATTCTAGAAACAGACGGACAACCCAAAACCCTCTCCTCATGTAAACTTCTCCCAATATGTAAACTTGCGGGCCTGAGTGGAAGTCAAACAAATAGTTAACAACCTGGCCCAAATCATGAAACCGAACCTTAGGAGGCCCATTGTGGAGAGACGGCCTTGAGGTTTCGAGCTGTGGCTCTCTTTCTACTACCGCTGTGAAAAATTGAGCGGTTGGCAGCAGCAAAGATCGGCGGCAGCGGACAGCCAAAACTGATGGGGGAGGCTCGGCGGCAAGGCTAGCGACGACATCGAGGAGCGAGGACAATGGGATCAATGTCGCTTGCGCTGCTGTTGACGACGATGATGACGATGGCTACGACGGGATCTATTGACTTGGAGACTGATGGCGATGGCGCCCGAGATCCAGATCGAGAACCGTGGAACAAGATCAAGTCGTTGCTCGGAATTTACTAGGATGGAGTCGGTGGTGATTACAGCAACGGCGACGGAGACAGAGTTGGAGGCCGGAATGAACATCGGCATCTCCTGAACGACGACACCCATGAATGATGGTAGCAACGCCGGGATGATTGAGCCGACAAACGGCTGTGACTGGAAAGTGTTGCGACCCACAGCGGACGGACTTCGCCTAGGTCAACCTGACGTACGGAGAGCTGGACTGCTCATCCGAATCGACAGCGGTGATCTTTTGG